CAAGTTAAAGTTTTCTATTTTAAATAAGAAAATTAAATTACATCTCTTGGTTGATATATATATATATAGTTGGTAATTATAATTAATATTTGTGTATATGAATATAAATGTTGATGGTAGGATTGCATATAGATGTTCTTAATGCGCAGCGGAAGACAATAACAATCATAGGCAGAACTTTTCGTGTTTAAAATTTATTTACTTGTCAAAGATCGGATCTAAAACGTACCCGGTGAAGAGAGTCTCGTTTCAAATTTCTTCGATAGTGCGAAGACTCTAATTAAGAATTGGTGATATAGATCTTATACATATTGTAAAGTCACGTAGAAACCAAGTGAGTTATTCTTGGGAAGAAAATTGCTTTGAGAAAGTAATAGTGCAATACAAAGCCAAGATAGAAAATACTAGTATAAGAAAATTATTTCTTGTTCTTCCACCTTCGAGTTGAGATTTTTGAGAAAAATTTCAATACAATATTTTCATTCAATTTGTTCGCGGGGTTTCATTGATCAAAAAGTTGATAGCAAGGATCATTCTTGGTGTGGATACGCATTGATCAAATGAGACTCTCTTCACCAGGTACTTATTAGATCCGATCTTTGACATGTAAATAAATTTTAAACACGAAAAGTTCTGCCTAGAATTGTTATTGTCTTACGCTGCGCGTTAAGAACATGTATATGCAATCCTACATAGAAGTCTATCAGAACTAACATAATTATGTCCAGCTTAAATGTGTTCTTCTAAACAAACGTACCTTCGTGATATTTTTTTTTTTTGAGAAGGTAAAAATTTATCATAACAGTATCAAGATGGTACTTGAGATACAGAGAACATTCCAAAACAACAAACACTCCCTACATCCCACCTAGCAAAAAAATGGATGTGCCTATATGGTGTTATTTGTTTCTGAATTTTGTATCATCTACTTCCACCCAGTACATTCCCCTTTGGTTTTATCATATGCTAATACTAGCTTATGGTAAAATTGCTCTTTTTCCCCCTCTGGATAGGTAGTGGAACTCGATTTTCTTTATCCAAGTGAAGGCATTCATGAACGGTGGAATAGTGGTTATCGTATTACAGCAACAGCTGCTACGTTAGATCAAGCTGCTCTTATCTTGAGCGTGCCTTGACGAAGACCTGGCAATGAGACTCAGGAAACATTGAGAACATCTCAGTTTCCAAGTACACATGTTAAGGTATGGTAACTTGTGATGTGGAATGTGTTATCATCTGATTTTGCCGAGTACGTCTAGAAGAGCTTCGATGCATATACAGAAAGAAAATTCATGCTTGTGTTTGGTATCTTCAAAAAGCTAAATCTTTTCATGGTTCCATTGTCACTAATATTTGTAGTCCCTATGTCGGAAAACCTTTAGTTTAAACGTTTATAGATGTGACCTACGTAAAACAAAGTTGGTTATTAGATGAAAATGAGTAATTTGCTTTTTAATGCTTCTCTTATTTTCTTCTTCTTTTTGCAGGAAAAGTGGGCAAAAAATCTCTATCTTTCTTGTCTATGCTTTGGCCGAACTGTATCTTGAGAAGTTGCAACATCTTACCCCTCCTTATTGTTCTATTCTCTTTTTCTCTCATTGGCAATTATAAAAAGTGGATGGTAGGTTAAATGGTTCGATTGTTATGCATAGGAAATTTTAGTTATAGTGGCACTTGCTTCATTTAGCTCGTCTGAACAGCGCAGTTTTTGGTGAACTTTCTTATGCGATGTATATACAATTAACTGCACAAATTTCCAAATTTATGGATCCTTTGTATCCTTTGTGCTTAGTGCAAGTCATTTCCCAATATGTAAATCCAGAATGAGCTTAATTTTTCTTCATTATCAGAAAAAGTAAGGAGCTTTCTATAACAAATTTATTTAAATTGCAGTTCAAGAATGACATCACACAAATTACACAGGAGTACCTAGAGTTGATATTCTCCTCACCCTTGACAGGAAATTATCCTGAAAATGATAAAAGCTCCAATAGCTAGGAAAGATGCTTGGGATCTTTCAATAAATCCAGTATGTTGGATAATATGAAGTTAGGAGAAATGTTTTAGACAATATACAAAAATTATCATGCAAATTCCTCAAACATGACCAAGAGTATTTATAGAGGTTCAGGAGCAGCTGAGCTCCCAATCAAAGACCTATTCTTTATATTGAAATTTCTCCTAGTTTGTGTGTTCTACACTTAAGATTCATTGTTGGGCAGCTTGCTGGGGACGGAGTGTTCTGGTTTGTGTTCACATTCAAAATCAAGATGAACAAATGCGCGTTCCACTTCAGGGAGTTTCTCGAGCTTTATTTGTAGAGTCTCTCCGATAATATGTGCTTCTTTCAATGGCAAATCTTCCGGGAGTTCAATATCAACCTATGTTAAAAGAAAGGAAGCAACATTTTGAAATCAGCAGAGATCTGGAAAAGGCTATGCCTTAATAATTCAGTTAGTTCAGACCAAAGATGTTTAGGAAAATGATTTCATGCTATTGGAGACTGACCTCAACAAAGTACAAGACACCAAAGGTGTATGCTCGAACTGTATCAATACGTTTCACTTGAGGATGTCTTATAACAACATATGTTAACTTCTGCATAACTTCAGGAGGAGCTGATTGTCCTACCAGTGACACTGCATCAAGAACCTCATTCAAGTTTTATTTGATGTATTGATATAAATAACACCAAGAAAATATCGGAGTTTTGCATCCCAGGGTGTGGTCTAGTGGTCAATGAAGTGAGAGGAGAACCATGAGGTCTCCAGTTCAAACCCCAGCGGTGGCAAAAAGACACTAGTTAATTTCTTTCCATCTGCCTAAACCTTGATGAGCAGAGTTACTCGATACGTTTACTGGTGAGAGGTAGCAGGTAACCGGTGGAATAGTCGAGCTGCGTGCAAGTTGGCTTGGACAACATATATTATGTGCTCAGACTTGAGGTGTCCAACAAGCATAATTCTTGCAGACATCCTAAAGGGATAATTTTTCTTACAAGGTTAGATTCTAGTCTGCGTTACTAGTTCTGTGTTTGTTGAACGTCGCTGTTAACTTCCATGAATTATTGACGAACTATAAATTCAACAGGAACATGTAAGTATATACCTGCATTCTCTATCACAGTGGCTGACCAATTTGAGATTGTATAAATAGCAAGGATAAGAGCACCAACGGGATCAATCCACCAGTAGAACTTATCACCAAGTACAGCTGCTATTAACCCGACTACGTTAGTAACCACATCAAAATAGTGATCCTGACAAATACATCAACAAATTAGGAAAAGAGATTATCAGGAGAAGATGTGGAAACCAGAAGGTAAGGACACTACACACACCTTTGCATACGCACGAACAATGTTGTTTCCTGAGCTTCTGCAGTAAAGCCAAAGGGCAAGTTTTACTACTGTGGCAGTTAACATGATGGAATATAACCATGCGAGCTGATTCAAAGTCATCTTTTCAGGAGCTTTATTTTCAACTAGTTGTTCTACAGCCTGGATCAGCACCTGAAAGCCTACAAAGAAATGCACATGATTATGCAAATTGAAGAATTTCATATACAAAGAGGTTAGCTCTCATATGAATGGTGCTAATTCCCCTGTTCTCTCTAATCTCATTTGGTTTCGAGAGCCTCCATCTCCCCGTCTCTTACTCGTCTTTTGAAAGCCGTCATCCTGTTTTTTTTTTTTTTTTATTTCCAA